GCAGAGCTCACGCAAAAGCAGCGGCGGTAAACTTTATACAGAAGTAATTTTCTTATTTTTTTTAATTAACCTTAGTGATGGCCGCTACCCAGCAGACTGGTATGCTCCTTGCCATGTGGCAATTGCATATGCATGAAATGCCAAGGTGGTATTAACATCACACATTGTGCAAGTCAAGGGCAGCACAGTGATATAGTGGGTAGTGCTGTCGCAGCACACCACAATTTGTGTATGTGAAGTTTGCATGTTCACCTTGTGCATGCATAGGTTTTCGGCAGATACTTTGGTTTCTTTACACTGTCCAAAACATGAACATAAGTGAATCGGAGTGCCTAAATGAACTGTATTTGTGACCGAGTGTGAACTCTGCAACGCCTGGTTGGTTCCTGCTTCATGCTAACTGTAATGGTTTATATTACAATGATAATGATAACACTTTTATTGATCCCCACGGGGGAAATTCTCTTTTTGCCTCCCATTTTGCCATCTTGCTCCCAGGTGAGAGCAGGCTTGGCAGGGAAGGGCAACGACCTGTAATGGCGCCCTGGGAGCTGGGAGTTAAGGACCTGGCCTAACGGCCCACAGATATGCCAAGGCCAGGCTTGAATTGTTGACTGTCCGATCACAGGCCCAGAGGCTTAGCCCACTGAGCCACACGTTCTCCCTGGACATTATATTATATTATAAGAATGATTAATCTGGGAATTGTGAGATTAATCGGTGAATTATTCGATTATTGATGGAAATTCATTTTTATTCTTATAACATCCATACCACCCTTCATACACACGACTTTTAAAAGTTGCTTCGTGTGGCATGTTAAAGCTAGAAGTATGAACATTCGGGACTGCCGACAGTCTGGCTCTGTGTCCCGTGTGCTATGGCATGCATGCTTTCACGTGAAGTATGAATCAGCCCGGAGCCATGCTTATGGCACAGAGTAGAGAGAGCAGAGGCGGCACAACAGGCTAAAATGTTGGGGGCATTCATTCTTATGTAAACCCAATTTGCCAATTTTGAAGTCAGATTGAGGTTATGTCTATATATTGTGCGATAAGTTGATAACATAATTATCGTGGCAGGTCTAATGTCAATATCTTGAATTTTAATGAATATCTCCCAATATTGATATGTAAGCAGATATATTGTGCATCTCTAAGGCTAGCATTACTTTTTACTTAGCTAGTTAGCTACCCAGAGTCTTGACCATTGCTGCCATAGCTAGTAGGGATGTAACAGTAAACAGATTTTATAGTTCAGTATAAACCTTTGGGTGTATGGTTTGGTACAATTTCAGTACAGTACAGTCTGTTTGAAATTACTTATTAGTTAAACTGCATACAAGTACAATTGGGAACAGTTGTAAACCAAAGGCAATGCCTCTGTTGGCATGACTAAAATTATGTTTAAATAACATAAAATAAGAGATGCAAAATGCATTTAAAAAAACTCAAATATATAACATCATGACAGTCATAATGGATTTAAACCTTGATTCATGACAATACAGCTTTACACCCCTGATTATCATTATTATTGCTTAGGGAACTTAGCCCTGTGGCAGACTGGCATCCCATCTTATGTACTCCTGCCTTTTGCCCTATCTTCCAAAGATATGCTCCGTAACTCCCACCCCCCACCCCCACAACCCTGACTGGGAGAACTCATAGGGAAAGAGAGATGTTATATAGCTTAATATGAAATTAATCAAATGCCTTGAATGGTTCAACATCAACTCCCTTCTACAGGCTTGAACCCACATAGTTTTGTGAGGTCCCAGGCACCTATTACATTTGCTGAAAGTCAGCATAATTCACCCACGAAATATCATCTTAGCTGTCATCTGCAGGATCTTTGCTATTTTTTTTTAGCCAGTTTTACCCTGACCTTGCTGGCCTAGTACTGAGGTCCCCTATGTCCTCTGTGATGATAACGACAATGTACACTGGGACACAAGGCTTATCTCTCCAGTCTCCTCAAGGATCCCTGGTGTCCTGTTAGTGGGAATTGGACCAGAGAGCAGTGAAAGAGGTGCACCAGGTATGCCAGCTCTTGAAGGCAACCAGCTGCAGAATGGGGCATCCCAGCTGTCCTGTGATTCGCTGCAGAGCAGAATGGCGCTGCAGACCAAAGTGTGGTAGACCAGCTCAGGATGCTACTTAAGGTGTCCCATGTTGCTGTGGCACTGCTTGCCTCCAGAGCAATGTCTTGTTTGCAGCTGGAGTCATTTCCCAATGCTTTAGCATCAGGGATGAATCTTGGACCAGCAGTGTGGGTTTAATTTACAAACATACAAATGGTGACACAGCCGATCTAGAACAGCAGGCTGTTTAAAGTGGGGCCCATTGCAGCCTTAATTTATTTTGTTAAACATTTATTAATCGCTGAGTATTACTTACCAGTCCAGAGCTCCTATACAAGAGTGTTTTATTTCAAGGCCTCCCCTGCTATTGGCACACCCGAAGTGTTCAGCTGACAGAAAGAGACACCAACTAGCTGTCCAACAAACATTACACAGACTGGTAGAAAGGGCGAAATCACCAGCTCTGTTTTGTCTCCTGATTTTTTTTTTTTTCCTGTTTGTTTTTTTTGTTTGTTTTTTTTTTGGGGGGGGGCATGCCAGATTCCAGACAGCTTCCTCTTCACATGTGGCCTCAGCCGCCAGTGCACCCCCCAGTTCCCCCTCCCCAACATCCACTGAAGCGTGTTTTGAAAGCTTTGAAAGTTCTGCAGTTCCTTCGCCACTCGGGGGTGTCCCCGACCCAGCTGATTTTTGGCCAGACATGCTGTGCTTCTTTCAAGGCACAAAAAGTCTCATTTCAACTCGTGCCTAGTCCCCTCCCCCTTCCATCTTGTAGTCCCTCCCACCAGTCCCTGCTCCTCCCTCTCAAGCTCATTTCCTGACCCCTTGCAAAAATGCTCAGTTCTGAATTCAGAATTCTTAAATACAGGCCAAGCAAGTGTCAAAACAAAGACCATCTGCTTCGCCTTTCGCAGTTTCCTCTCATCTTTTCAAATCATCGTTGGGTCTTCAGTCTCTGCTGCCTTTGCTGCGGCCTGGTGGTGTCCGGGCATGTCCACTTGAGGCCAAAGCTGTTAGGTTTTTGGTCATCAATGGATCATTCAGCTCACCAGAGAAGGCCTGAAAGGGGTTCTCTGTGACTGTGAAGAACGTGGAGCACGTGGTAATTCAGTAAATGGTTCCATACTGAAGGCCACTGAGTCATATTACATTTTAAATGTATTCAGTTCTCCCAGTGGATGCATGGTGCCTGTGTAGTATCCGGCCTTTTTGGATGGTCATGATTGCTGACTTTGTTGCAGCACGGCATTCGCCTGCTTCAGAATGCCCTGTTTTGACATGTTTTGTGCTGCAGGTGTTTAAATGAGCTCTAACATTTACCTGTAATTTCACAGGTATCACATTTTGTACCCACCTCGCCTGTGCTCAGTGATTCACATTTACCATTTAATTTTCTTAAAGTCTTCGGCTGGGTGACAAGCAGTCTTGAAGATTAAATAGGACTTTCCAGTTTGGACCTTCTCTTTAATCATGGAAAGTGATCTTTCAAGGATGGAAAATTGGAAACGGAGCAAATTTCTCAGTGTTTCAGTTCGGTCACCTTTTCTGGGAAAAGTCAGCTCATTTGGTTAGAGTTGAAGAAAGGTTTCTTTTTTCTTAACTTCAGAGGTTTAAAAACATTCCCCTGCAGCTTACTGTGGTTAGGCTATTGTGTAAATTTCATCTTTCCGTAAGTGATCTCCCACTATTGATTGACTTCTGCCTTTTTTTTTAATTCCAGGTAAGTTTGAATGCTCCATCCTTCCTTTCCAGATGACTGTGTGCGGACTGATGCGTAGAAATACTTATGAATTCCCTCCAATCCTGTCTCTCCTAGTCCCCTGTGATCATATTGTTTTAACTGTCCAGTTTGCCTTGATGTGTTTGTACAACTGCATCTTTTTGTGAAGCATGCTGTCACAGTACAGCCCCGATGGATATCCCTAGTTAGACAAAAAAAAAAGCAGGTCACCCCTCCTGAACCACTGAGCGACGATCAAAATGGCCTCTTTAGTTCCCCTGACTCTCCACTTGTCGTGGCCCAGAGACATTCTGGGGCCACTGAGGCAGTCTTGTGCAGAGGCACATTGGGAGCTCATTGCCAAAGCCACCCCCCCCCTCCCCCTGCCTTGCTTTCCCCTGTGTCTCCCACTCCCCCTTTCACACACTCAGGAAACGGGAGCTGAGCCAGTGCTGCTCACTGTTTCCGGGAATCTGTCCCACAATGCCTCAGTGTAGTCAGTCGGGTTGACGTGAGCACCATTGTTCCCAGTGCTGGGCCATTGTTTAAGGGAAGGAACAGCTACAAATACAAAAACCACCCAGTGAAGGGGGGGGGGGACCATAAGCCCCAGCTATTTATAAAAAAATAAGGGAGGAGGGGGTGTCTCATAGCTTATACACGGGTTGTTTTCTCACGTCTGAAAAGACTTGTCTTTTAGCGACAATGGGGGTGACTTGCTTGTTTTAATGTTGTATATATTTTAATTTATTAGCAGAAAAATCATAATCAGGCTGAGGGATGCTGTGGCAGTGTCTTTTGGAATCAAAGCCAGAAAGTTATTTTATCCTAGGCTGCAGACTAAACTGGCTCTGCAAAGTGGGTAGGAAATTGGATTCAGTTAAACACGATAGCACTCTTTAAGTTTAATCATCTGATGAATGCTGATGAATGGCGGATGCCTGTGTTTGGTCAAAACATGCGGGTGCTGCATTTCCTGCTAACTCTCAAGCCAGTTGGCGTGAATTGAACAGTGCTGATAGTGTCCCAGGGTATATTGATTTGATTATACTGGATTTTCTCCAGTGGGGAGACGATATGGGAGTGCTTAGACTGGCATTTTTAACATGGCTGTGTTAATTGGTCGACTGCTCATTAATGTTGTAGACTGTAATCCACTTATCCTTAACAAGAAATCTCTTGTCTCTTGTCTTTCAGGTATCCTAAAAAACCGACCAGGTAAGAACACCCTTTTCATGCTTTATTCTCATGCTGTACAATTCTGTTAGATACTCTGCAGTCTGTGCAACCGTTTCGCACCCACATCTGAGCGAAATGCGAAAGGGGACACAAAGGGCCTCCTTCTGCGTCGGACCCCTCTGCTGCACTCTCTGAGGAACAGAGGACTGTCACAGATGGCGTGAGCCAGCTGTGCCAAGGGACCTGACCTCCCTGCTGGGTCTGAGGGTCTCTGTCAGAGCTTAGGCCTTCTGGATGTGCAGCCCACTTGTGGATCTGAACTATAGACGTGACTCATCATAGATCCAGAGTTTAGGGTCTGACCCAAGCAAAGGCTGAGGTCTTAGACGTGGTCCAGTTATATGCCTTAAACTTAGGATTTCCTTTTATAAATTTAAGCTTAAGCGCAAGGCTTAGCCTGGTTTTAGTCTTGGACCTTAATATCTGAATCATTATCCCAGAGTTCAGAGACATGGAACAGACGCAGTGATGGGTGTGAGGCATAGGACTCAGGCCAATAGTAACCCCAGGGAAGTCACACCCATGGTATGGTGCAAAATGCTGTGAAATGTTTTTCTGCATAAAGTGCCATCAGTCCTTAGGCTTAGGATGCCTTCTAGCAGGAAGTAGCTTCTGTGAAATGTTGGCAAGTGCTATTCAAGGAATTTGGAGATGGATAAGCGATCAGAAGGGATGGCTTTTGGCTATGTCACGCTGTAACTGCAAACGTGCTCTTCATTTTGTTTCCTTTGTTTCGTGCTGACCTTGTGAGTCCTTTGAGCACTTGTGAATGGGGCCCGCTGTCCTTAACAAAATTGAGTTGTAATTAGGAGTCAGACAAACTGGCTTTGCATGATATTAGAGAAACAATCGTATGTAATTATGTGTGCAAGAATGTGTTTAAGTCCAGAGTAGACTGTTCCCCAGGCCGAAAGGCACAATGGACCTTCTTGGTAATGCCTGTCTGGGTCATGGCCAGCCACAGGGGAAATGATCCTTTGGTGCCCCCTGTCATTCAGGACAGAGGTGCCTCTTTATTAAAAAACCAATTAATATCTGAAATAACAGGTGTACGGCAGCAGTTATTAATAACGTTATTCACGGCATCGAGCACCAATGTAAAATGGAAACCAGTGCACCGACGGGTCCTTGAGCACCCGGAAAGAGATGGTCGCAGAAGCCTGGCCAGGCTGGAGTGTCACGCCGTCCCCACCCCTCCAAGGCTGTGTATCTTCGTGTCTCACAGGACAGGCAGCATTCTCAGCAAGGACCACCCACCAGACAAGAAGCCCAAGAGCGACAAACCCAGCGTGCCCACCTCGCATGACTTTGACCCCACAGGTAATATCAGCAACACTTATTGCATACACACATCTGCCATGTCTCTCATGGCTGACACCAGTCCTGCTTTGATCGATGGAGCCCTCCCACACATTAAAGTTACTCTCCTAAAAACATTAGGGCAGACTAGCATGGGAGTGCTAAAGTATGTATGTGGTGCATTTTAGGGCGCTTTTCCACCGCACTAGGTACGGTACTATCGGCGCGGTACTTTTGGTGCTTTTGCCTTTCCACTGACGTCTGGTTGAGTACCAGTACCAAAAGTTCCAGTTCTGAAAGTGCCAAACCAGCTGGTGTACTACTTTGGTACTTCGGTACTTTGGGGTGAGACTTGAAACACTTTCTTTGTCGATTGGTTATCTAAATAGCCTGCCACTGAAACACAATACAAACAGCACTCAGAATACATACAGTTGCGGGCTCAGAAAATAATGATAAACTATATAAAAAAAAATGCAATTTGGTCGTAAGAACATATACAACAGAAAGATCTGGATGACATGACAAGAAATTAAAAAGTATTTTGTTGAAAATACTAATACAGCACCTAGCATTGTGCAATGTAATTTTGTATCATAAATTTCTCACAAACCAGACTTCGAGTGATTTAAATGACCAGGATGAAAATGATTACGATTGTCTCGGAACGTATGCAGCACTCATGCAAGAGCAGCGGAGGTGAACTTTAAACATATAAGAATCTATGAAATGAATGATTAAAAATATTTTGGTGAAGCTTAATGCTATCCGTATAGAACTGAAAGTGAGAAAAAGTCTTATCCTAATATAGCTGACTAACAATGTAAGAATTGGATGTGCATACCATGTGGTATTAATATTACACATCATCCAGCCCTATAATATATTACAGCCATTTTAAGAATTCCGTAAAAAAAAAACCCTGCCCTGCGCTGTGATGTCATTTGGCGGCAGTACCAGTTTTTTCAGCAGTGGAAAACCAACACCTTGAAGTACTGTACTTACAGTACTTTCTTGAAGTACCAAAAGTTCGGTACCAGCTGCCGTGGGAAAACGCCTTTAGATGTCAATAGTTAAACATTGGCTTTTCACAGTTCCAGTCAAGTCTGGACACAACTGCTGAAAATTGTTTTTCAACAATATAATGACCCTAAGCATACCTTGGGGTTATTACCTTGAGGTAGTCAGTACTAGGGGTGTAAATCACAGCTTTCTTCGCGATACGATACAGTATCGATTCCTTAAGCCAACAGTTCGATTTTTTTTGATACCTCAGAAATTCCCACGATGCGATACGATATGATTCGATTCAGTTCGATACTAGGGGTAGTAGTCGAAATGATGAAATCTCACACTATCATTTACATTTCAATGGATTAAAAAAGGCAAGTATAATTAGCATTTAATCATATTTTATTGGGAACTGTAAACAAAATCTAGTGTAGTCAAGTATGTCCCATAAATCAAGCAAAATGAAGTGCAATACGGTAAAAATAAAAACTTTGGATGGATGTAGATTAACATGGTGACTAATTTTTATTTTGAATCAAGTCTTCTCCTGACAAATACAAAAGTGTAACAAAAAGTATGTTCATAACTGTCATGACCTGCTCGTATGACCCTCTCTTGTGCTAGAGGCTTCTTACTTGGTCCAGCTCCCCCATTCATTTTTATACCCTTTCTTAAGTTTAGTAGAAATAAATTGGAGGCTAACTAGGCGACTCGGTAGCTTGCAGCAGCTGGCGCGGTTGAACGCGTCATCCATCCTCTGTTTTTTATGCCATACGATCTGCCCACACTACCTTTGCGATCGACCAGTAGGTCGCGATCGACGTATTGGGCACCCCTGGTGTAGACCATGTATACGTCGGAGTGGATCATGAAAACAATACTGGAACAGGCCAGAAAATAAAAACGCATGTATCGATATTTATGCGGTCACATCGATGCATCGGATCGTTTGCCGTTGAATCTATATATCGATACAAATCGATGTATTGTTACACCCCTAGTAAGTACTATACTATCTTGTGAACAAGGCAAGAGATGGACTGCTGTGACAGATGACCTGGCCCCCACAGTCCCCTGACGTAAACCCCATAGAGCTGGTATGGGATGAGTTGGATCAAAGAGTAAAGTAGCCAGTTTGCACCCAGAACTTGTGAAAACTTCTTCAGTACTGTTGGAGAAGCATTCCAGGTGGCTCCATCTGGAAGCTGATTGAATTGAAAGAATGCCAGGAGTCTGCAATGCTGTCATCAAAGCAAAAAGGGATTATTTTGAAGAGCCTAAAATTTGAGAATATTTTGAGATGCCGAATACATCTCTTGATCATTGTAGTATTTGATATGTATTACATCATTTCCTCAAGGCATTTTATTATATGGTGAATAACAGCTAAAATAGACACAAATGCATTAAAAGCAGGTGTGTTCAAACTTTTGTCTGGTACTGTATGTGGACAACTAGTCCATCTGCTAAGAGTTTGGTTTACACACTGATTACAACCTCTTCAAGCTGCACATGGTATTGAAGATCATCAATGAGCAGAAGTAAATGACATCACAATCTCTCTGATCCATATCTCACTGCATGTGTCATAACAGCCATTAGAGGACCTTGAATTTAATTTTTCGGCCCCAGGGAGGGCCATCTGTTTAGAAGGGCCATCCGGGTGAGGCTGAAGAGCGCCAGGGCGCCACTTATCTTGTGCTAAAGACAGCAGCTCAAGCCTGCAACAAGCAGAGATAACCATGCTAAGAACCCTCTATATGATAACGTCAGCAGTGCAGTGCTGTCTTTGGACGGGCTACCAAAACCAGATATCCTGTCTATACCCTCCGTTAGGTGGTTACTGTTTTAGTTAATATTACACATCATCCAGCCCTATAATATATTACAGCCATTTTAAGAATTCCGTACAAAAAAAAAACCCTACCCTGCCCTGCTTTAGTTGTTTTAGTTTAGTTTAGTTGGATAATAGGATCAGGCCTGTGTCCACCCAAATGGCGTGTTCCACACTTTTCTGCAGGTGTGTTTGGGAAGTCCTCTGCATACATCTGCTTTTCCTCACTTGGGCTATTACGGGTGTTGGTGTTAGTGTTGGTGTGGGTACAGGCACTCTCCTTTGGCTGACCTTCCTCTGTGTTTAGCATGGTTTTAATAGCCCTAATCTCCACCTCATCTGCCCTCCGGCTTGTTCCATCTTATGCCTGCAGCTGATTCCTTCTCATTTGGCCTGTGCTCCGATCTCATGCCGTCATGCGAGTTTATAAGCATCTAGAACACTGAGTGTGATTGAGTCTATATCCATTGTTATCGGTGTATTTTTTAATTTTATTTTATCATCGTGGTTTCAGTAGTGCTTTTTATTGTTTTCGTGATTTTCAGTCCCTCAAAGGTTGAGGGGGTTCATGGTGAAAGCATGCGAGTGCAGGGCTCGTCTTTGGCTCACCCAGGGCAGATGGGGGTCCTCCTTTCTCCTGTCATTAATTTGCTTTGTTTCTTCCCCCCCCCATTTGACTGCCCCGGTCGCGGCACGCTGTAACTATCGTGCACATAGATCCGCCGTTGCGGAGGAGCGAGGGCGTTGTGTCTGATCGGAGGCCGGAGCCCTGTGGTAAGCTGCTGCTGCTCCAGCTGTGTGCCTCCAAAATCCCCCACCCCCCCATGCTTTTGCTCCCGCCCCCGTCTGCCTAACCTCACCCCCTCATTCCCCACACACCTCCAGCTGTGCTACTCCGCTTTGCCCCTTGCCTATGGTTAGGCGCCACTGCGGGGTTGGTGGGGCCCAGTATGTCAGTGGAGAGGAGGGGGGGGGGGGGGGGGTGGTGGAGTGGTTTGTGTCAAGGTTTTTAAGTGAGTGATGGGAATGGGTTGAGATTTAGGCTGCGGCCTCAACAGAGGGAATTTAACCGAATGAAGCAGGTGTGTATGTGTGTGCGCTTGTGTGTGTGTGTCGCTGCCACGTTTGTTTTCCCTCCCAAGGTCTGTGAGGGTCTGAAATCATCTACAGGGGGAATAACGAGCTATGAGCTAATGCTCAATTTGAGATGACACAAAAGGCCTTGCAGAGGAGAACAAATGCGACATTTTGCCCATCAAAGGGGCTCTTGAGGATGCTGGGTCTGCAGGGGGGTGTCACCAGCGGCCGTCGGGGAAACAGCGGGGCCCCTATGCGGTGGCAGGCCGGCGGGGAAGGGGAGGGTTTGTGGAAGGCACCACCAGTGGGGAGAGTGAGGTCCTCCAGGGGCTCGTGCAAGCGGCTGGGACACCCGCCCACCTCTGGCCCTCAAGAGATCAGATCGCGGAGCCCACTTCACCAGGCTGACCAATGAATTGTGAGAATGGTGACTCTGGGACCTAGAATGCTCATTCAGCAGTGAATCTTTTAATAAACATGGCATGTAGGCTGAAGTGGCTATAGCATAACCACGGTATCTCAGCTGCTGGCCGCCGGTGGGTCAGGGTGGCGGTCTCGCCCTCTCGCCAGGTACCCCAGAACTCAAACAGCACGATACCCCTGTGACTCTCCCCACACGTGTGTGTCCTCGTCCGTGCGGTGTGCCGCGTGCCATCAGGTGTGGGCGGAGCCGGGGAAGTGGCGATGGGTGTGTGGCGTCATGAAGCCGGTGTCCCAACCCCGTCTCCGTCCCCAGGGCTCGTCCAGCGATGTGTGATCATTCAGAAAGATGACAATGGCTTCGGGCTGACTGTGAGCGGAGACAACCCGGTGTTTGTGCAGCTCGTCAAAGAAGGTAAGTGCTGCCCTGCCCACAGGACAGAGGTTCCGCGGCAACTCACCCGCGTGTGCGGCTGTGTCTTCTACTGTGTAAAGCAATTATGTGACTCATATGAACCTTTCACTATTATGTCCTGGAAACATAATATTATGTGTATTATAACACAATAAAACATTATCATCGACCTGTAAGTCACTTTCAAATTAAATAACTAACCCGATGCTGCGTCCATGCTGGGTTGGACTCCTACAGGGGGGTTTCTGGGATGTAAACATAGTGCACAGTACCAGTCATTAGTAAACCTGCATCCTCACACTACTGTTTGCTGTGTGAGGGGATGAAGCCACCAGCGCCGGTAGTTTGAGAGGGGCGGAGTCTGGCATTAAGTGTTGTTTACTGTGTACTCCACCAGGGGCACCATTCACTCACGTGGGCTTCTCGTTGCTCCGACCCAACCGCACACTACCTTTTAGAGCATTATCCCTTAATGATGCCCCCTCGGTTCAGGCCTCTCTCATTTTGCTGGTGGGGTGCCTGTCCTGCGCTACCTGTATGTCATTAGAACGGGTTTTAGAGCTAGAAGCAATCTTTATGCGAGACTGGCCCAGCTCACCACAAAGCCCCATCTGTCTGTCGATATGGTGCCTCTCAGTGCCCTCAGCAATCTGAGTGTGGCCCTCTTATTCAGTACTGCAGCTGTGTGCGGGCTTGTCCCCCCACCCCGCAACCCACCCGGATGAACATTTCCTTTATTTCATACGCCCTTAAAAGTTCAGGAATGGCCATTTCGACCCTACATAGTGGCCGAAAAGATTCTTTGTGAATGTAGCCATTAGTATGGAAGGGCTTTAATGCCGGCGTCCCTTAAAAGGCCTGACACACACATGCGCACACACACACACACACACACACACACACACGGCTTCCCACTTCTTCATGTTCGGGTCTCCAGCTTCTCAATGCTTCTGTACGGATGATTAAATCCCTGGCTGGCGGCCGTCAACAGGGTCTTTACAGCTTTCCTCTCCTCCCTCTGATAGATGGCGCTGCAATGCGTGCTGGGGTTCAGACGGGCGACCGGATTATTAAGGTACAGCTATGGAAGGATCCCCCCAGTCATTTCTCTGTGTTGCTTCCTGCAGCTTTTGCTCTGGACCCCCCCCCCTTAAAAAGTCCCCTCTGTTCTGGCTCCTGCCTGCCACCTGCTGGATCATTGCAGCAGCAGCAGTCTCGCTGCACTAAAATCAATACGAAAGTGGAACATGAACATTGTCAGGATTCCATGTCCTGCTTTAAAAGCGCTGAAGTTCGGAGGGTGGGAGCACAGGGGCGCAAGTTTAAGCTGACCTGAATGATCCTGATTTTAACTGATTTATTTTCTCCCCTTTTTTCTCTGCAGGTGAACGGGACCTTGGTGACACATTCAAACCACGTAGAAGTTGTGAAGTTAATTCGATGTAAGTGAATTTCTGGTTAATCTGTGGTATGTAGCTCAGTGAGAGTACTGCTCCCGTTCTGAGCCCTCCTCCGTTTTCTCGCTTGGCCTCTGCAGCGGGCTCCTATGTCGCTCTCACGGTGCTGGGCAGACCCCCGGGGCTGCACCAGATCCCCCTGTCCGAGGGTGTTGGTGATGCGGCGCTGCCTGGTCAGGAGCCCCCACCCATCACCTCCCCCCAGTCCCCGGCATCTGTGCATGGAGAGCGTACCTGCAGCCCCCCCGACCGCCGAGACACCACCATCACAGCCCCCGTGCCGCTCTGGGTACGCCCTCACCACTGCTGCCTCCGCTCCCTGCCACTTGCTCCGTGTCACACCTCCTTCACCCCACTTTTACCCTCAGGAGGAGAACAACATTGTGCACAGCCAGAAGGTGGACATCCTGCAGAAGATGCTGTCCAAGGAGCAGCAAGACCTGCAGGCCAGTTCTTCCTGTCTTTTCAGTCACATGACCTACTGGGAAGGAGGGGTTACAGAGGTTTCTCTCTGGTTTTACCCAGTTAATTCATACATGTTTTTCATATACTTTCAACTTCTTTCAGTTTCCAATAGTTTGTTGTGGGTTGAAGGGGCGGCTGTAGTAATCTCTGCCTCCTGTGGCTGTGAATTTGATTGGTGAGCTGCACTGTACGACCAGCCTGTGAAATGTGGCATGTTTCTATACCCCACGCCCCCCCGCCCCCCCCCCGATACAGGCCATGGAGGAGGAGTATAGCAGGAACCCCACGCGTAAACTACTGAAAGAGATTCAGGAAGCCAAGAAGCACATTCCACAGCTGCAGAGCGAGCTCAGCAAGGCCACTGGCAGAGCACAGGTGTGTGTGTGTGCGTGCGTGCGGTCATCACTGGCATCTGTATTTTATATCTAAACATAGTCCTGCTTCATGAAGGGGATCTTATAAAAGGCCCTGTATGTGTTGCGAGGTAGAGTCATGGTGATTCCCTGGCTGCCACCGTGACTGTGTGGTGCTTGCAGGATGGCCTGCCCTCCCCACGGCCCGGGGACACCCTGCAGTGGAGCGAGACGGATGAGGGAGCCCTGGGAGACGCGGATGCCATCATGTCCTCTCAGAGCGACTGCACCCTCGACGGCTCCTGGACCAACATCTCCGCACAGTCCGTCAGTACACCTTCTGGCTGTTGTGTGTTCTTGTGCATGGGGAGGCATAACTATCCTTTACGTCCTGGCTCCTGTGCAGCCCTGACGAGGCCTCCCTCTCTCCCTGCGTAGGTACCGCCCGGCCTTCCCTCATCCTACCCCGACAGCCCATGCCAAAGAGAAACACCGACTCACAGCCCAAAGAGTACCCCCAGGGGCAGCCTTAACTCATGCACCTCCCCCGAGGCCGAGAATACGCCAGACCTGGTGAGGCCTGCCCTCCTTGCTGTCTCATCGTGTCTCATCGCTGGATCGGTCCACTTTAGTGATCCTGCTGTTCTCCCCCCTCCCTATGTCAGGATGGACAGTGCCAGTCCCACGTGGGAAGCCCTTCCTTACGGGCAGCGGCCCTCATCATCGGAGCTGAAGACGAGGATTTCACGTCAGAGCAGGAGCCGGTAGGCCACTGCCGCCCCCCCCCCCCCCCGTACGTCTAATAACCCCACTCCCCCCAAAACTTTTTTCCCATCTCGTTCTCTACATCAGATGAACGGCCAGTGCAGCTGCTTCCAGAGCATGGAGCTGCTGAAGTCGCGGCCTGCCCACCTGGCAGCCTTCCTGCACCACGTGGTGTCCCAGTTTGACCCAGCGCCCTTGGTACGCCGCCCTCTCCTTCCAGCCCAAGCTAGCCTCTCATTCATTATGAGTCAGACTTTCAGAACTGATCCAGGTTCAGCCCGCCAAGTCCAATATGTCCTTGTCTCCCGCAGCTCGGCTACCTCTACGCCGAGCTGTACAAGCAGACGACCTCCAAAGACACCCGTCGCGTGTTCCTCGACCTCTGCACTTTTTTCATGGACCGTACAGCGGTGAGTCACAGATGACACCCTCAGGCACTTATGCCCAGTCAGTCCTTGACAGCTCTATGTTTGATATGTGCCATTCACCTCACTTGTACATCACTTCAGATAAATTATGTAAAATAAAATAAATGCAAGGGAAGCACTTTTACTAAGAAACCCTGTGATTTCACCAGTAAGCCATGGCACTTCAATGCACAAGCGCACCACAGATTGCAAGATACCGTGTTGCATCTGCAAAACATAGATACATTTGTGCCATGGCAAAGATTTTTATGGATGCACTACCAGCCGCTGTTTGACAACTTAAAGGTTTACAAACTGTGAGTATACCTGTAACTGCTAAGTGCCACCCTCGCTCTCCCCGCTCCCAGCACTCAGCCGTCTGCTAGGTGCTGCATGTCCCCGGCCGGTTCTGCTAATCCTGCATAGGGTGGGGGGGTGCCTTTAGCTGCCGGCTCAGTCCTGGCTGCAAAAGGAGACCCTAGCCCCCCCCATCCACCCCCAAACACCTCTAAAGGAGCTCAGAAAGCCTTAGATGCATAGCAGTACACTCTGTGTGTGTGTGTGTGTGTGTGTGTGTGTGTGTGTGTGTGTGTGTGTGTGTGTGTGTGTGTGTGTGTGGGGGGGGGGGGGGGGGGGGGGGGGGGGGGGGGGGGGGGGGGGGCGGTGACAGAGAGAGAGAGAGAGAGAGATATAAGTGGATTAGTGTTATTCCGTCCTCCACTTTGGTTTTTAAATCTGGCTGGTAGAGACACTCCCCCTAGCACTGGTGTCACTGTGCAGGAGTGGACTCCCAGCGCCATGGACTGATGTTTGTTTTTGGCCGGGAATCGTTCTTTTTGTGATGGGTATAGCCAAAGCCTGGGCAGACTGAGCAGGTTAATGTACTGTGCCCCCAAAGAAACGAAACACTGTCCTTTAGACCAGGACGACCTTCTGTTATTATTGGATCCATCTGCACGGGTGCATTTAACGTGCTTGGTCCAGAGGCCTGACCTTCAGTTTGACTGTGACATGCTTCACGGCAGACCCACATGTGCCAAGGTGTCCTGACTGCACATTTTGGCATCGTATCCCATAACGGGATTTGGGGATGGATTATGGTAGAGCGTGCCTTAAGGATGGGAGCCATGGGGGACTGTGCTACAGGCTAGAGCAAAGCAGGTCTAGTATCAGGCAGCGGCATCTCTGCCCTGCAGACGAGGTGTCAGTCAACAGGGGCAATTTTAGGAGTTTTTTAGGGGCCAGGGGGCAGAGGGCATAAGATGGGTCCAAGTTCATGAAGAGGGGTCAACCCTATTCGGTAGCCAATGAACTTTTGAATCAATGATTGACAGGGGAGGGAGCACTCTGGGGGCCGATCACCTTTCAGTTGTGGTTGGAGCCCCTTTGCCTCCAGTATAGGCTCCTGCTGGTTGGGAATATGCTCGCGCCCCACCTCCCTGCCCCTGGAATTTGACTGTTTGGTTCTCCTGCACCATGATGGACTCAGAGACAGCCACCGTGGGGGTGAGATTTCAGGAAAAGGGTGACGGCAGGACCCCCTCACCATGTCCCCTCCATCCGCCACTCCCTCTGTTCCCTCCTCCCGGCTCATGTCATCTTCAATAGTATGACAAGCTAGGTGACATTGTCATCTTATTCTTCTCTCTCTCCGTCTTTGCTCAGAACCTTAAAGTAGCCGTACCAGAGTTCATCGCCTCTGACCTCGGTAAGCTTGTGTCTGTGTCGCCATGTAGTGTAGATACTTAGATGCTCTCCCTCAATCTCTCCTGAGCCACCATGTTGTGAACTCCTCTGTTATCTTCAGCCAATTCCATGTTATTTTCTCTTGCCACTGTTGCGTGTTTGCCCTTCAAAAACTGTTTTCTTGGTTGCTAAGACACAGGCCACATAAATTCCTTATTTTAGCAATAGAGTGACTTTATTTCCTTTTTTGTGGCTAAGCAGTGTAACGGTTTTGTTAGATAATGCTGTTTAACTGTACATATAAACAAGGGAGCCAAGGTTACAGGCAGTAGGCGCCTTTAATGTCTTGCATGTCCTTCTGCTGGGGTTGTGAAACAAGGGGTGAGAATAGGAAGTACAGAGCCTGTGAGCACCTGATATCGAAAATAAGCTTGTGTGTGTGTGTGTGGCTCGTAGAGCGGCGGAGGCCAGAGCTGATTCCAGAGGATCTCCACAGGCTGTACGTGCAGTCACTCCAGGACTCCCTACTCACCGACATCCAGCGACACCTGGAGGACTTCCGGTGAGAGGGCAGGAAGGCAGGAGGAGTGTGCAAGTGATAACTATTAAAAAAAAAGCATCCACTTATAAGGAGACTGATGGAAAGCTAGTTATTTTCACACACATATACTCACCGAGGTGCTTTTGAAGTTTTATTGAAGTTTTATTAGTCATGTACACAATTATACTCAGTACAGTGTGCAGTAGAATGCAGGGTGGCCGAGTCCCAGGGTGTGAACAGAAGCTTAAGTGTCAAGACATGATGTAGTAACAGATATCAGATGTTAAATAATAATCGTAAATATCCATAGTGTGCAAAATTAGCAGGAAGTTGAGGTTTGTGCATTCATGTGCACATGCAGGCAGAAACGCAACATGGGCCTGACTCTGGCCGAGGGGGAGCTGAACCGCCTGGACACGGAGCGCGTGAGGAGCCGGGTGGCGCTGGACAGGGAGCGCTCCTGTGCAGAGCAAATCATCTCCAAGATAGAGGATGTGCTGTAAGCCCCCACCCCACCCCACCCCACACCCCGATGAGCCCCATTAGATGCCGTTTAGGCATAATCTTGGTGGCTTTGCAGTGATCTGTCAGTGTGTGTGCGTGCACCGACCTCTCTCTCTCTCTCTCTCGCTCTATTTCAGACTGACGTCACCCCCCACAGAAGAGGACAAGTGGTAAGTGTTTCCCCCCCTGCACAGGCTGCTCTGCCCCCCCCCCCACCCCCGTGAGCTGATAAACCGAGTTCAGATCAGACTCCTTGGCGCATTTCCTGAGCTTTATCAGTGGCCGCGTTTAACAAGCCTAGGCTGCCCGTCGTCGCCGTTCCTAAAAGTCACCCATAAAAGTGGCTTTTAGTGGGCGTCCCTGGCGAAGACGTGGCCTCTAACCAGGATGCCATCACAGCCCATGAGCCTGCTGGGGGACCGATGTGCACGCAATCAGCCGATGCCCGATAGAGTCTGGGCAGGGTTGTGGCTGGCTATTCACCACGTGCCGCCAAGTGCGCTGGGATGGCAGATAAGGGTTTCAGACTGAGCCGTCCAGGGGTATGTTTCCCAAAAGCATAGTTGCTAACAACATTACATGTTACATAGTTGGAACCATGCAATTGAATGGATCCAACTATGTAAATTATTACCGGGAGCTTTTGGGAAACATACAGGCCATGTGGAGGTCATAGACCAAACCGCTGCCATGCAACTGTGAGGTGAGGAACTGGAAATGAGACCTGGCACTTCAGTGTTGTCGGGGCCTGGACTGCCCCGTGTTGTAGGGTAGAGAAGTCCTCGGTCCAGGACATCCGCGTTCCACCCCAAAAGAACATTTAGGTTTTTTTTTTTTCTTTAGTTGTAAAACGTCCTGTGTGTTGCACGGGAGGTTATATAACTGCGTGTGCTGTGAACAGAGCCTGTTTTGTTTTCTGAAGAACCTCACCCTCTGATGTCACCAGGAGACGTCTCTGTACCTGTTTGTACATAGTGTTTGTGGAGAATAGCATCTGTGCCTCAGGAAAAGTCTTGAACAATAGAACCCTGGGGAGTCTGTGTGGAGGGAATGAGAATTATGTGGCCCTGGGAATCGCATGGCTCCACGTAGAAACTGATGTTATAGTTTTTATAATTTTCTTGATTTTCCTATTGGTGCATATTCCACCTGCGTTTGGTCGTGGTGGCATTTAACGCGAGCCTTATACGAGCGTATCCTACACACCCCCAATCCACACAGCAGCGCCCACTCCATACGCTGCCTTCCCACCCCATATGGTCCCGGGCACTAAAGCGCGGCCCCCTGTGTGTGTGTGTGTGTGGGGGGGGGTGGCTCAGCATGACAGATGGCCTGCCGCATGCGGGGCCTGCCTCTTCGCCTGACAGAAGGCCACACGGCGCCTGTCTCTGCGCCCGCGGGAGCTGTGGCACAGCGCCGCCCGCTTTCAGCTTCCACTTCCCCAGTGGCTATAAAAAGGCGCTCATAGCAGCACGCCATAGCCGAGCACTTACCCTGGTGTCCTGTGTGTGAACAGCGTGCTGTGCTGCCACCTGGTGGATTTTCAGAGAACCAGAGGAAAACAAGTATAGATGATTGTAAACGGGCAGTGCCCTGGTTTAGAACGTCCGACTTAAAGACAGCTTGTACTTACAAACAGACTGACGTAAAGCCTTTTATATAAAAAAAATATGAGTTAAGTACAATGGTTCATAATAAATGCATGCACTACTTTGTGACGCTCATGAAAACCTTGTGCTGCTTCAGTTTGTAGGCTCGAGGTACAGTACAGTACCATATGTAGTCAATTTTTTTTATTACTGAACAGTAATAATTATTATTATGTACTGTATAATTATTGTTCCAACTTGCCTACAAATTCAACTTAAAGACTGACTTGGGAACAGATTTCTTTTGTAACCGGGAGACTGCTTGTATAGCTTAATTTTTTTTCTACCTATGCTGTCATTATCTTAAAGTCTCCATCAATCAAACTGACTGATAAATTATCATGGCAGAAATATAATAGGCTGATTTGAAGTGTGTGAATGTATGAAAACCAACATGAATTGCATTATTGATGGGAGTTCAGCCACCTGGTGGATGTTTGAGGTATAGCAGGGTCCTACCGGCCATTTAGTCCTATCTGTTTGTCGCTTTTCAGAGAGATGCAGTGCAGGTCAGCGAGGTGGGGGGGGGGGGGTTGGGCTTGTGAATTGTGGGTTGTTTCCCCAAGGAATACCTTGCATGGTTCAGGATTTCCCCCCCATCCAGCTGGTTCTCCCCGACAGACTATCCCTCTCACAATCAGCATACATACTTCAGACGCCCCCAGTCTGTGATGTGAAGCCAGTGCTGCTGAATGCATCCCTCTCTCGTCCCCTGGCAGCAGCACCATGCAGTACGTGATGCTGAGCTACATGAAGCACCTGGGAGTGAGGGTGAAGGAGTCCAAGCGAGTGCGCATCAACTTCCTCCTGCCCAAGATTAAGGTGTGCCATGTGTACGTGCTTTCACCTACACAAGCAGATGCACGTGTTTTGTGGGGATTTTTCCCTTGCAATAAAACTTTTTTTTAATTGAATGATTTATTTTAAGAATTGGAGTTGCCAGATTGTCTGCTGGGGTGTGTGTGTGTGTGTGTGTGTGTGTGCCTTGCGATGGGTTGGTGCCCTATCCTGGGTTATTCTCTGCCTTGTGTCTATAGCTTCTTAGCCGCCTCTACAACCCTGCATAGGACAAACAGGTACAGAACATGGATGGATGGACCGACCTGTTTTAATGACAGTATCCTCATACCTTACTCTTGGTTCAGTTTTAGTAGAGAAAGTCCCCACAAATACAGTGACACCCCTGTATTCACTACAAGCATGGGCACACACAGATTAAAGATGCTTGCCTGTGTGTTCACACTCACTGAGGTTTCCATGGATACAGAGTTCTCCTTTTCCCTGAGCAGAAGAGCATCAAGGATGGAGACGAGAGGGTGAAGAAGCTGCGCTTTCCCAGCATTCTTGTGCCCCCCCGGAGGCCCAGCTGCACCGACGGCCCACCTAGTAAGTTTCTGTGCGGCCGCCCCTCGTGGTGGCAGGGCGGGGTCACACGTCGTGGCCTAACGAGCATGTCCCCTGCAGTCATCCGGGCCGTGGAACTGAACAAGCTGCGCCCCCAGAAGCAGCTGTCACAGCCGGGCCCCTGCGCTTTGGAGCATCAGCAGGTGGGCCGCTCCCGGGGGAGCCAGACCAGCGAGGGCTCGGACCCCACCCATGTCCCCGCGACCACCACCTCGCCCCCATACAGTGCCCCTGGTGGCCCGGTGTCAGAGGGCAGCAGCCGTGATTGGGACTCTGGTGAGATACTTGGCTGATATGTATTTTACACTCTTTTTCTCTCCCTCCTGTTTTCCTACCGATCTCTCCTTCCTTTCTATCCCTCTCCCCTTCTTTTTTCCCCCATCCCTCTTCCTCCCCAGCTTCCTCTCCCTCTTCCCCACCTGCCACGTGGTCTGTTGGCTGCTGTCTGCCCCCCTCCCCGAGCGACGCTCTTCTCCATCTGTGGCTGATAGCCTCAGGCCGACTCGACCCTCTGGCTCTTTTACAGCCTCCCTTTTTGTTTTGGGGGCCCTTAATTGGGTACACCTTGAATTGAATGTCTTTATTGAGTTTTAGTTATGTTTGCTTTTTAGTTTTCAGCATAGATAGTAATGTATCATACTTAATAGCATGTAACTGTTTAAGTTTATTTGAAGAGTCATCTTCCTTCACCACAGCTGGTATAGCTTTTAGCCTTGGATCTTGGATCGTAATTCTTGCCACACAATGGTGTTGTGAGTGACGAGGTGAGGAGTGCTTTGTCTGGCTGCTGAACGGTGAAGAGAAACTCAGGCCCTGGCAGGAGCTTGGCCTTTTGTAAAGTGGTGTAGTTTTAGTGATGGTAGCCTAGCCTACGCCTGTGGTGAGGAGGCACTAAGCTACCCATGTGGCTCTGCAGGCGCGCTGCCAGCCTCGGCTCTCCCCCGGCTCGCCGAGGGCCCCCTGTCGAGCGACTCCGCAGACAGCACTCCTCACACACCCAGCACGCACTTCGACTTCAGCCCGTCCTGCCTGGAGCAGCTGCAGGAGGAGGAGCGAGAGAGCGACAGGTAAAACGCTTCCCCGACTTCACCTTTATGGTGGCAGACGTTTGCAGGTCGGCGTCTGCCTGTCCTGTTCATCCCCTGCTGTTTTATGGTGCTTTTGTGCAGCTCGTGTCCATCTGAGAGGAACATGCCCCTTACCCTTTTTCCTGCATTGCTCCCTTTGGGGCTTCACCCTGTAAACATGGCCCAGCTGTCCTCTCTGTGCGGCTGTGCTCGGGGCTCCTCCCAGCAAGGCTCCGTGCTGTGGGCCTCAGCGACCTCTGTACCAATAGTGCCACACGAGGCAGCAGTGTGAACACTCTGTCCTTACATAATGACACTTCAGACAGTGGACTGGCTAGCACCTGGAAAGAAACTCACTGTCTTCTCTTGTCCTTTGTCTACAGGGTCCTGGAGGGGGGAACGCCTAAAACAGCTCGAAGGTGAGCATCTACGTTCATAAGTCGTGGCTATATGACAGCATAAGACGCAGTCTCAGCCCTAATGCATGCTCTGTGTGTGTGTGTGGCCATAGGGCGGACCCACTGAGTTCGGCAGACGTGCACAGCGAGGACGACCAGGGTAATGAGATCGAGTTTGAACAGGACCCCCCCAACTGGCAGCAGCTGGTGAGCAGGGAGGTCCTGGCTGGACTCACTCCTCCCGAGATCAAGAGGCAGGAGGTCATCAATGGTGAGCCCCTCCCCTGCATCTGTTACCCTGATCCCGTCCTGGAGCCCTGGAGTGGGGTTGTTATGGGAGACAAGTTCACATCACAGCCTTTAAATCAGCTGTCCATACTCTGGCTTTATGGTCACTTTGGCTCTTTAGGTGACAGACTGTAAATTACTCATTTGTCTTTCCAAAGTAAGATTGAAAAAAGAATCCTTTTCCCTCAGGGTTTTAGTATTTACTATACCTGACTTGCAGCCTCCATTCCAAGTCTGCACTACGACCATCCGCTTGTTCATTATGCTTGCCGACACCTGTATCTCACGCATGCCCCCCCGCAGAGCTCTTCTACACGGAGCGTGCCCACCTGCGCATGCTCAAGGTGCTGGATAGCGTCTTCAACCAGAAGCTGACCAGGGACGCCATCTTGCCCCCCGCTGAAATCAAAAGCATCTTCGCCAACCTGGAGGAGATCATACAGCTGCACGGTATCTGCCCCCCCCCCTCCCTGGGAAGACCCTGTGACGGCCCTGTGCGTCCCAGATGGACCGTAGGCCTCATTCTCCTGTCTCTCTTCCACCCCCCCCTCTCTCTCTCATGCTTTCAGGCTCAATAGCCGAGCAGATGACCGCCATCCGGAGGAATAACGAGACGACCGCGATAGAACTCATAGGCGACGACTTGCTCTCCTGGGTAGGGGCCTTGCTTTAGCTCAGTGGAAAGGCTTGTCATGTTGTCATGGCGATTCACCTCACTGCCCCCCCATGTATGCCAATTTTTGGGATGTCTGGAGGCAATTGCCCCAATCCCTCATTTCCCAAGTGTCTCCGCCTCCCATTCCCTGGTCAACACCCCTCAACGCCCGCCGCTGACAGTCAGCGTGTCGGCTAAGCCTGACCAGTCCCTACTCGGCTCCCCAGTTCGGCGGCGGCGAAGAGGAGAAGATCAAGCGGGCCGTGGGAACTTTCTGCAGCAACCAGCCCTTTGCCCTGGAGCTCATCAAGACGCGACAGAAGAAGGACCAACGTTTCAACTCCTTTGTCTTGGTGAGTGGAGATGCGGCATCTAATATTTACGGCAGTGAGCTCCAAAATAAGTCTGTCTGACCACCAGGGGGCACTCTTCTGTGTATCTGCAGGAGGCGGAGAGCAACCGGCTTTGCCGCAGGCTCCAGCTGAAAGACATCATTCCTGTGGAAATGCAAAGGCTTACCAAGTACCCTCTTCTGTTGGAGAACATTGCCAAGTACACAGGTACCCGTGACCTACAGTCGGGGGATTACATTTTCCTACCAGCTTGTGCATTCTGACAAATCTCAAAGATCCAAGAGCAATTCTTTTTCTGGTTTCTGCATATCTTCTTGGCCCGGTTCTGTAGTCTCAAAATGAGCCAGCTGACCCTACGGCCTCAGCCTCCGTGCTGCTGCCTGATTGGCCGCTTGAATCTAAAATAAGTCTCTTGTCGAGCTGGAAATTGACATCATAAAGACATTTTGACATGACACGTAACTGAGGGCTCTTTACAGACTCCCCCGCTGGCTCTGGGCCCGCCATCGATAAATTGCAGTTTTGTTTTCAATTATCGTAACATTTCCTGCGAATGTTAGGAGCTGCCAGGGCTAATTTAGCCCGTGAGCTAAACGCCAGCCCAGTTTTCATTAGCACATATCGATGAGATAAACGCTATGATCAGCATTGGAAATTAGGGGAGCAGAATTGCATGGCATTGCCTGATTATCTATAGCCTAATGGCGTATATATTTGCCTGTGCACACGTGTCCCCACAGAGGACGCAGAGGAGATGGATAAGGTGAAAAGGGCAGGCGAGTGCTGCAGGCAGATATTGAACTACGTCAACCAGGCTGTGAAGGAGTCTGAAAATAAGCAGGTAACTGTGTAGGGGGACGGGTGGGTCTCTGGTGCAGTGTACTGCCGTGGCTCCACCAGCCCTGTGCATCTCTCTTTGGCTCCGCCTCCTCATGGTCTCCATACTAGCCAGTTAGCCAGCTATCTGCTTAGCAGAGTCTTTCTTCCCTGTTGAGTTATAGCACATGCTCTGGGCTAATGTACTACTCAGTTTGTTTTTCTACAGCTCCCTTTACAACATGGTCATCCCAGAGTACTTGATTTAGAACTATTATATGTGGCAAACATTAAGTGCAGCATCGTACATGAAAGTAATGGCATTTGTTACACAACTTAATGGTGCCGCTGTATACCCAGTATGTCAGAGGGAGGATATTTACCGAAGCAATAAAGGTAAAGTTTAGAGCGAACAGCCTCTCAATTTTCCTGCTGCTCCTTCTAGAGGTTGGAGGACTACCAAAGGCGCTTGGATCTGTCCTCACTGAAGCAGAGCGAGAGCACGCTTATTGCCGAGTTTAAGGTCAGTCCCTAGGGGCCCTGTCACCTTGCCCGGGCTAGGAGAATCCAAGGTCTGGTCACTCACACTCATGCTACTCCTGCCACATCCCGCACAGAACCTCGACCTGACCAAGAGGAAGATGGTGCACGAGGGACCCTTGTCCTGGAAGGTCAATAGAGACAAGACAATCGGTATGCCAGCCCACCGGTCGCAAACGGGGACTCTGGGGAGCCACTGTAGTCTTAAGGCCTTTTCACACCAAATGTGACACAAAAAAATCACACAAATTTGCTAAATATTCCGGTGCTAACTTAACGGATCAAAAATTCTTACACCAAACATGATGTCAGAGTTTCGTAAGTGAGCAAAGTGAGCACAGTGAGCAAAGTGAGCACAGTGAACGAAGCTTTACAAACTGGCGACAACCACTAGCAGCAGGCAGCGAGTTTTTCCTGTTTTTTTGAGCAAACAAGTTAAAAGATGATTGCGAAGATACTGGACACAGTTGCAAGAAAAAGCTTGTGAATTCTTTACAATTACGTAGTTTTCTGCATTAATTGGTAATAAAATGTGATCTGATATTCATATGTTACAGTAATCAACAAACATAATCTGTCTTATGTAAATTATCATATTGTTTTTGTACCTGTTGAAGACATCGTTCAAACATTCACAGTGTAGGTAGGAAAAAGTAAGTGAAGCCATGGATTTAATAACTAGTTAAACCTCTTCTGGCAGCAGTAAGTGCTTTTGATAGATGCGGATCAGACTTGCAAAATGTTCAGGTGGAGTTTTGGACCATGCTTCCTTACATAACTACTGCAGCTCAGCCATATGCTTAGGACATCTGGTGTAAACGGATATCCTGACATCATTTCACATCTCAATTTAGGTTAAGGTCTGGCCTCTGTCTGGGCCACACTAAAAAGCAGATTTTCATTTTTGAAGTCACTCTATAGTAGAATTATGTTGATGTTTCTGGTATTTGACCTGCCACATCACCCCACATCTACTGAGCTTCAGCTAATGGACAGCCACCCTGATATTATCTTGTAAAATACCTTGATATTCTTGGGAATTAATTTTCCCCTTGATGATGGCAAGCTGTCCAGACCCTGAGGCAGCAAAGCAACTCGGAACACGAGTCTCCCTCTACTGTACATCACCATTGGGATGATGTGTTCATGTTGGTATGCCCTTTTTATACCATATATAGTATTGCATGTTCTCAACCTTCAAGACTCTTTCCCAGTTGCAGTGTGAAGATGGTCTTTGGCAAACTCCAGCCATACAGAAATAATCTTTTTTTGGAGAGTACTGACTCCTGCCATAGTGTCCTGCCATGGTCACCATGCCTGTTCGTGAATGGAGATGTTAACCAATTATTCCTTCAAGCCTTTAACTGTTGCTCTAAGGTTCTTTTAAACTTCATTGAACATTCTGTGTTGTATTCTTGGAGTCACTTTGGCAGGGCGCCCACTTCTAGGAAGAGTAGCCACAGTACTAAACTGTCTCCATTTATAGGGAATTTGTCTAACTGCGGACTGATGAATATTTAAACTCTTTGAGATGACTTTGTAGCCCTTTCCAGCTTTTATGTAATTCTTGGTCATAGGTCTTCTGAAATATTTTTTTTTGTAAGGCATTGTTCTCATCAGTACATGCTTCTTTTGAATAACAAATTCGAAATGTTTCAGTGGTTTTAGTAATGCAAAGTAGCTGTAACTCACACCTGCAGTCTCATTTCATTGATTGGGTGCCAGGTTCAGTAACTCCTGACTCCATTTAGCTTTTTTGTTGAAGTCATTAACATAGGAATTCACATACGTTTTCTACCCTGCACTGTGAATATTTGAATGATGTATTTATTACGTACAATACAGTATTTTTTATGCTATTCAACACAGTATTTTTAAGCTACAAGGGTTGGATAATGAAAATGAAACCACAATAATTTATTAATAAGGTGTATGGCCTCCTTTTGTCACCAATACAGCATTATTTTGTCTTGGGAATGACAGATGAAAGTCCTGCACAGTGGCCAGAGGGATTCTGAACCATTGTTTTTGCAGAATAGTGGCCAGGTCGCTATGTGATGCTGGCGGATGAAAACGTTTCCTGACTCGCTCCTCCAAAACACTGCAAAGTGGCTCAATAATATTCAGATCTGGTGACTGAGCAGGCTATGGGAGATGTACAGTTTCACTTTGATGTTCATCAAACTAGGGCTGGACGATATCATATCGATATTATATCACGCATGCGCAATAATCACCAGGGCTTCAGATGACAGATGAAGCATTTGGCCGGATGCCAGCTTTTCGGTGAAATACGAACATTAATTTACGCCCATAATTTGGTAAGAGGATTAGTAGTATGACTTAAATATTAATGAGATGCGTTTTGTGACACCCAAAAGTTAGTAATCTGTATAAACTTTATGTTTCTTAAATTCGATTAGCGGAGCACCCCACATAATACTGTTTTGCTATACTGCGGTTTGGTATACCTCAGTGCAATATGCAATATGAAGAAGAGCAGCCACAACATCTTTTAAAAGAGGAGACCTTCTGGATAAACAACGTAAAAAGACGTCGGCGGTGTGGTGGTACTTTTTGCAGTTCAAAGTCTGACACATTTATGAAACATAAAGATATGCCGTATTTGTACTAATAATGACTTTTGGATGTCATACAAAGCCTCATTAATATTTTAGCCATACTACTAAACTGCTTAAATTGTGGGCGTAAATAAATGTCCGTATTTCACCAAAAAGCTGGCGCGTGACCAAATGCTTCGTCTGTCATCTGAAGCCCTGGTGATTATTGCGCATGTGCGATCTAATATCTATATGATATCCCCAGCCCTACATCAAACCACTCATCCACTCATGGTCATCCTGATACATGGGCACCATGTTGAATCCATTGGGTGAACATGGTCCTCCAGTATGGTTCAGCAGTCCTTGGCAGTTGCACATCCATCTAGAACAAGTAGTGGGCCTAGGAATTGCCATGATATTGAAGCTCAAGCTACCACTGATCCACCCCTGTGCTGCACCCTGGGTACACAACAGTCCAGGTGGTGAGCCTCTTTGGGGCTTCTCCGCACCATAACTCTCCCAGATATGGGAAAGACAGTGAAGATGGACTCATGTTTCACATTGTCTATAGCCCAAGATTTGCGCTGCTGGCACCATTGAACCCAACGTTTGCCATTGGCACGAGTGACCAAAGGTTTGGCTTTAGCAGCCCGACCATGAATATTGACCATTTGGAGTTGGGCAGCTGTGGTTTTATGCTTTTTGGATACAATCCCGGTTAGTGCCCAGATGTCCCTTTCAGACAGCTTCCTCTTGCGTCCACAGTTACTCCTGTTATGACTGATGTGGTCTGTCCTTCATGGTGGTATGCAGACATTACCCTGGGTACCATGGCTCTCAATACACCACAAAGACTTGCTGTCCTGGCCACAGATTCAGCAGTGAGATGTGCACCAACAATTTCTCCTGTTATAAACTCTGATATGTCTCCCATTGTGTAGTGTGGATTGTAATATTTTTGTACAGCTATGTTATAGCTCTGCTAATTCAACCGTCACACTCTGCTCTTACTGATGGAATGTGCAACCGGTGAAGACTGGTCACCGGGCCACACATATATATGCATGAGGCCTCAAAATACTATATTGGCCAGTGTCTAAAGCGTTCACATACTTTTCCTTGCAAATGTACATTCAATCATTAAAAAAGTATCAAGAGGTTAAACTTTACAATGATCTTTACAGACGGTACTTCATTATGAGCAAAATTAATATTGAAAACATGGCAGTAGCATCACCTATTACCAGTTAACTGCAGGAATGGAAAAAAACAGCTTATTGTTTTCGGATTTTTTTTTATTGGATATTGATTATATAGAGACAGGTCTATAAATCATGCAAAAATAAAAATATTAATAAATAACTACATTTCAGTATAATCTGAGGCATATTGCTAACCTTTAGAACTTAAGGGGAAAACTGTCCTTAGAACAGCTGCAATCAGTGTAACATGCTCCTTATCAAATAAGGCTGAAATTTCAGTTTTGATCTCAATGTTTTTATCGATTCTAACATTAAAATATAGATTTTTTTTACCTTGTAATTGAAGTATTTATATTATTATAAGGAGCAAGATATTAACTATTATTGGTCTGGGCCACTCATAAGTGGGGAGAAAGGGAAAGCTGCCCTGACACTTTAGGGAAATGGAACAATCGATCTGCCAGCAACCTTGTTCCTATTCAGAAAAAAACGATCACGTATAATAGCTGACATCCTACTGGTCATTCATTATTTAACACATCTGAAAACTGCAGCAATCGAGCTGTCTCTGAATAAAAAAGACTGATCACGACAAAGCAAATTTGGCAGACTTGTTGTGAAAGCCTTCATAGAAATACAATATCGTGCATTTTTTTTGTGCAAGAAAATTGGACTCTTTGTGAAACGGCCTTAAGATGTAATTTTCCAGCGGGATTGGGGAATAAAGCAGATTATACTTTTTAAGTACTTCCAGCTTCACATCAAAGTCTGAGGGGTGCTATAAGTATTCAAGCACTGTTATTATTAGCTGGAGTATTTTCTGAGCACTTAGTTGAGTCAATTCTTTGTGGAACTGAACTGGGTTTGAAATAACGCAGACCTCCCCTCGCATCGTGTTTTATTAAAGTACCACATGTTTAATGTGTTACCTGTTTATACGGATATTTTCAGGGCATAGAACAGATTGAGTGGCTGGGCATAGAGTCAAGGATTCTTGTAGGATGTGAACTCACAACCCCACAGTCCTCTAACTCGTCTTCCCCCAACCCAGAGCTCTACACGTTGCTGCTAGAGGACATCTTGGTGCTGCTGCAGAAACAGGATGAGAAGCTGATACTGAAGTGCCACAGCAAGAACCTGGCAGGAACCTCAGACACCAAGCGCATCTTCAGCCCCGTCATCAAGCTGAACACTGTGTTGGTGCGCTCCGTGGCCACAGGTGAGAGGGGGGTGCTGAGACAGGCGAGGCCTAGCGTGCGATTGACTTCAGTGACAAGCCATCACAAAGTCTGTATTTGCTCCTAGCTATGGGAAATAACAGTATGCTTTGTTTTCCACCAGACAACAAGTCCTTCTTTGTGCTGTCCACAAATGGAGCCCTGATCTACGAGCTCATGGCACAGACTGTGTCAGAGCAACGGACGTGAGTCCTGGCACTTTGATTTGAATAAAGCGTCTACACAAATCTGTCATATCGCTGTAGGTTAATCCTGCATTTTTTCATCCTTCCACTAGGTGGCTGTGCCTGATCACGCAGCAAGCAGAGTCCATGAAAACAGAATTGCCCAGCATCATTACTTTACCTTCAGAGTAAGTTGACAATCACTGCTTTTGCTTGTAGTTTTTTGTTTTGTTTTTAATCATTATCATCTTTTTGAAAAACGCAGAGAGGAGATTTAATTGCTGGCTGCGTATTTGTGTCCCTTTTCTCCAGTGGGGATCGCGAAGCTGTCGAGATGATCAGTGCAGGTGGACAGAAGCTGAGCAAAGACCCCAACCGGAACTCAACTGGGAGCATCCAGTCACCAGGTGCCTCTCAAGCCCTTTCAAGTGCTGGTGTCAAATTGCTCAAGACTGCGGTGTAATTAGCATAGACCAGCTGTGTTCCACTCCTGCTCACTGTCACCTAAAGGGCATTTGTTTCGCCTGCAGAAAAAGATGTCGGCTCTGCACCTCCAGAGATAACGCAGACCCCATCAGTCGGTTCCAACCCATTCGAAGACAACAGATCAGATGAGGAGGAGGAAGAGGCTGAACAAGATGGAGAGGAGGTGGCTTTTGTGGACCCAGAGCTTGGTGACAGGCTGCCTGCTGACTCTGATGACGACGATCCATACACATTTGGAAACCCAAGCTCCACAGCCGAGGGGGCCTTGAAGACTCGTGAGTGGAGACTGCATCACAAGATTCGTTCCTCCATATTGCCCATATCGCCCATATCCTATCTATTACATCATCATGACACTGTTCAACATATTGTCTTGTTCATTACTGCATTTTATTACCGCCAGAAAGTGGTATTGGAGCTCTCTTGTCCCTGCTGGCCAGTGTAGGCAACTGCCTTTCCTCTGTCTCAGTTGAAGCTCTCAAAAAGGTTCTGCTGGATCACATGATCAGCCAGGGTGTAGCTGAGGAGGGCAGACAGGCGTGGCGGGACCACAGGGGCCGTCTCCTGCGGACCACCTCCCTGCGGGGCCCCATGGACAGCCCAACTGCTCAGGTTTCGGCGCCCCTCCTCTCCCCGGAGAATGGTGCAGAAAAGGCGACGGGCATTCGGGAGCCCACCTTGGGGGACACGGGGTTTTTCGAGACCTCCGACGATTATGGTGAGTGCCAGAGAGGCCATAGGCTCTGGCTATACCAAAGCAAGTGCCTGACTCCTCCCCTTCTCTACTGCAACCTCAGCAGGTAGCTATATGGTCCTGGAGGGCTATGGCGGCTCAGGAGAGAGTAGCACAGACGACGACGCCCAGGGGGGCGAGAGGGATCCGGGGATCCGCTGGGGCCCTGCCGGCGACTCTGGAATCGACCTGAAGAAGCTGCTGTCATCATCGTCCCTGTCGGGCGGCCAACCCAACTTCAGCCGGCAGGTCATGACTTACCTGCGCCTCCTGCAGGTCAACCTCAACCATCTAAAGGTGCAGCACTGTCACGCTACCGCACAGTCACGTCTGACCCGAGCCGCTCTGGTCCGTGCCGTTCAGTATTCCTGTTAGTGTGCCACAGTTGGGCCTTTCTAATGAGACTTGTCATCCTCCTGCAGGAAGTGGAGGCCAAGTATTATAGACTGTGCCAAAAGCAGGAGGGACCAGCTACCGACATGTATGAAAGTAAAGGTGAGTGACGTCTTTATTCATAGAGACCAGAGCAGCAGGTCCATTGAGAAATGGGAGCAGCTGAATATTGAGAGGAGGGCAAACAAGCATAGAGACAGGAGTGGAGAAAGTATTCCTGGAATTCTGTGAGAGTGACAGGGGACTCCAAGCTGTCATCTGCTGTATATCACCCAGATTCAAGTGTGACGTATTACTGCAATGGCTGTTTGTTGCATATAAAAACATCTAACTTTGGAAAGCATTTTGATTGTGATGGAGGACCGGCTTGATTAATAGCCATGAAAATGCAGCACGCACTTGAGAAATAACGATTATGTAGAGAAAAAACAGGCCTTATTTTTTGCTTTCTTTTGTTTGGTTTTGTTTCTTTGCGAATGGGCTGTGAGTCACTGCGAAACCGAAATAGCCAGTGTAAGCAAATGGCTGTGGAGCCCTGATCCCCAGTCTTCACAATCTCATGGAAAGTGCTTGAATGGAGCATGGGTGGCCTTTTACACTACAGTCTTGCACTTGCATGATATTGCTTGGGTCTTGTGAAGCCCACTTCAGGTATAATGGCGGATCCGCCTCTCTCCCAATCTGCAGATAGCTAAGAGCTAGCTGATGGCCGGGCTTCCCAGTCACTCATCCACATCTGGCCAGAGGAAGAGGACACACGGACTTAGGAGAGGGCCTCGGGCTGTCCTCTCAACACTGTTCTCTTCTGAAGCCCTGCTGTCATGGAGATTGGAGAATGGGGGAGGGGCTAGCATGGCCCCACCCTCATCTTGAGCATTTGTGTAAAGCCAATCAGGGAAGATGTAGTCCAGCCCGGCCTTCAAAGACTGCTCCTCCAGCCTTCAAGTCCTCTGTTTCGCACAATCTAACCAAGAGGAGAGAACTGTACCAAAATGTATAAAGCTTAGGATGTATTAAACACAAACCAGAAGAAAAACTAAGGAATTTTGTATGTATTTTGCTTAATTTTGTGTTCTTTCACCCCAAGATGTATTTATTATTTTTGTTGTTGCAGTTGTTGTTGTTATTGTTGTTTGTTGTTGCTGTTTGCCGTCGTTGTCAGTGTTCTGGTTAGTGGTCCTCACGTTGCTTGCATGCTTTTTGGCCCGTGGAATACCCCCCCCCCCCCCCCCATCCCATTTGGAGGCCCCGCCCTTCTTTTAACCACTCCCATCAGCCACAAAACAGGACAAACACACCAGGGGAGAGGAGGGAAGAGGTGGATCTCAGGTGCTCACTCTAACCAAGCACACCTTTTCACCGGCTGTAAATATGTCTTCCGGTTCCCTTGAAATGAGACGCGCCATGCAGTAGCGGGGTCAACTGAAAGGCAGAATGTTGCCCAAGAGGTTCTAATACAAATTCTGACATCAGTATGCTGGAAGAAAATGCTTAGAGCTGGAAGCCTCGATTTGTGTGTTCGGCATGGCATGTTTTTCTTCTTTTGGTTTGGTTAAGAAGGCTTGATGTTGTGTTCACCCAGTGTTGCAGAAGTGTAACCTCTAGTAGTGGGAGGGGAGGCTGAAAGCACCAGCCTACACCCTCTGTGACTGGCTTTAGAAACCTTGACTGATATCCCCGCTCCCCCCAGACGCCTCAGCTATTCACTGAAACACAGAAAGTGCATAGATCTGCCTGTGTCGGACCCAGTCTGGTGGGCAAGATCTAAAGAACTTCGGTCTGATTCAAATGGTCTGGAGGGTGGGAGGAAAGGGTCAAGACCCATGTGCCACTGAGACCACTGAGCTTAGAGCCTTGTTGGGTCGGACGTGGGGGTGAGCACCAGGAAGTGTCTCAGGAAAAAAAAAAAGTGCATTGATGACTACTTGTGAAAAGGGGTTTGGTTGCTAGTGATTCCCTTAGCCGGTCAGCCATGTACAGTATCATTCCCTGTTGGGAGTCTCGGCTTCACACCTAGAATATGCCCGTTCTAGTGGGAGTGAAAGGAAGGAGAGATCCCACTAATTGACATGCAAGGACTGTTGTCATTCAAAAGCTACTTTCAGCTCAACAAGAGATGTTTCTATATAGACTCCATATCAATCATACGCCTCACTCAAGCTTCCAGCTGTTCAGTTGGCCGCTATTCTCTTTGATTTGCCTGAGTGGCACTTTGAAGAATTCACTCCTTGGAGTCATGTGGTTTTACTATATAACCAAGTCAGAAGGAGACCGCTGGCCATTAGTGTCACTGGTCCTCCTCACGATGGTGTAGAAGTTGCCGTTTCTGCTGTTTGAGATCATCAGCCACTGAGGAATCCTTCCTGGACGCTCAACGTTCTTTTTGATCACTGTGTGTTCTCTTATTGAGTAGTTTTTTTTATTTTTTCTGATTACTGTATAATATCCTTGGAAACCAGCTACTGAAGACCTTTCGCTCACGACTTAGGCGGCGAGTGCGAGGCCGGGACTTGCTGAAATCCCAGGGTTGGATTAACGAGAGAGCGTGGCATGCGGAGATGCACTTCACGCCATACTTCCGAATTCAGCCAAGCTGCCTGACTCTTGCTTTCCAAGACATTGCTTGGACTCTTAGGTTTTAAAGAAATATAAAGTATAAAAAAAAGCTAAACATAATGCATAAGCCTAAAAAAAGGAACTGTATTGATTATTTTTAATGTAAAAAGTGTACAATTATTGTATTCCTTTGTTTTTTTCTTGCTTTCTACGTCATACAATCATTTATTTTAACAGAAGCTACTAGACAAGAGAAAGAGACTGCAAAGTATCCCTAAAATATTAATGTAATCTGTATTTGTATTGATTATTTTGTCTAGACATTTGAGGTATATTTTTATTATATTATGGACAATATTAATGATCTCTGCTTTTCTGTTCAAAACATGAATAGCTCTTTTAGTTGACAGATTCTATTAAATTTAAAACCTGGTATACAGTGGAAAAAAACAAGATTAATTGTGTATTTTATTTTGTTTTGTTTTTGGGAAACAGGTGGGGAATATAATCAGGATGTGAACTTGGCCAAAATAATTTAAAATAAGTCAAACTGTTTAAATGTCATTAAATAAGTTTTGTGGAAACAAAATGGTGGAAGCACAGTCTTATTCTAAAGCTGGTGGGTAGACTTACTGGACTTATGTTTGTCTGGACACATGTGGGTCCAGTTTGGGTGGACTGTGTTCTCAGGCTGCCACGTCAGGTGTCCCCAACCAACCAATCAGACACATCTCTTTGGGTCACATGGTGTTGTGTGGTGGTGGGGGTGATTGGGGCATGTGCATGCCACTCTGCATCAGACCCCATGTTATGCTTTGGGCTTCCCAATGCTGTGTCAGGCTGATACAGTTAACGCATTTCAACAGTAAGTATGCCGTTTTCCTGTAGCTTGTTACATGTCTGCAGTTATTGTTTGGTTAACATTTGTTCCCTTTCATTAAGGCCTTATTTGACGACACTGATGTCATGATGTATATATTACACTGTAGGGACCAGATGTCCCAACAGTGTGATAAAAACATTATTTTTTACCTGCACAAGAGAAAACTTAATTATATAAAAATCTGTGACTGCAATCAAAAAACTAAAAATACCGAAAGACTTTGTTTGGTTACTTACGGTTAAGGGTTAGGGCTGGGAAGGGGTTAAGGTTGTCAATGTAAGGATTATGGTTCCATACAAATAAATGGATGGTCCCCAGAAAAAATATGAATATAGTCATGGCCAATAGTTTTGAGAATGATACAAGTAAGTAGTTTGCTGCTTCAGTGTTTGTAGATCTTTTTGTCAGATGTTTCTATTGTATACTGAAGTATAATTACAAGCATTTCAACAATTACATTAAGTTCATGCAAAGAGTCAATATTTGCAGTGTTGGCCCTTCTTTTTCAAGACCTCTGCAATTCACCCAGGCATGCTGTCATTCTTGCATAATCAATACAGTTTATCAGAATGTTTTTGTTTGTCCACCCACCTCTTGAGAATTGACTACAAGTTCTCAGTGGGATTAAGGCCTGTGGAGTTTCCTGGCCATGGACCCAAAATGTCAATGTTTTGTTCCCCCGAGCCACTTAGTTATCACTTATATTGCAATCATACTAGAAAAGGCATTGTTTGTCACCAAACTGTTCTTGGATGGTTGGGAGAAGTTGCTTTCAGAGGATGTTTAGGTACTGTTCTTTATTCATGACTGAGAAGAAACCCCACACATGAATGGTCTCAGGATGCTTTACTGTGGGCATGACACAGGACTGATGGTAGCGCTCACCTTTTCTTCTCTGGACAATCTTTTTTTCCGGATGCCCCAAACAATTGGAAAGGGGATTCATCAGAGAAAATGACTTTACCCCAGTCCTCAGCAGTCCAATCCCTGTACCTTTTGCAGAATATCAGTTTGTCCCTTATGTTTTTCTTTGACAGAAGTGGCTTCTTTGCTGCCCTTCTTGACACCAGGCCATCCTCCAAAAGTCTTCGCTTCACTGTGCTTGCGGATTCACTCACACCTGCCTGCTGTCATTCCTGAGCAAGCTCTGCACTGGTGGTGCCCGAATCCTGCAGCTGAATCAACTTTAGGAGACGGTCCTGGCGCTTGCTGGACTTTGTTGAGTACCCGGATCCCTTCTTCACAACAATTGAACCTCTCTCCTTGAAGTTCTTGATGATCCGATAAATAGTTGATTTAGGTGCAATCTTACTAGCAGCAATATCCTTGCCTGTGAAGCCCTTTTTGTGCAGAGCAATGATGACTGCACATGTTTCCTTGCAGGTAACCATGGTTAACAGAGGAAGAACAATGATTTCAAGCACCACTGTCCTTTTAAAGCATCCAGTCTGCTATTCTAACTCAATCGGCATAACAGGGTGTCCCCGAGAGAATCATTGAAATGATGTCAGCAGATCCTTTTGTGGCAGGGCTGAAATGCAGTGGAAATGGGTTTTTTTGGGATTGTTCATTTTCATGGCAAAGAGAGACTTTGCAATTAATTGCAATTCATCTGATCACTCTTCATAACATTCTGGAGTATATGCAAATTGGCATCATAAAAATTGAGGTAGCAGACCTCAACCTTAGTGAAAATTAAGTTTTGTGTCATTCTCAAAACTTTTGGCCACAGCTGCACAAACGTGTGTGTGTTCGTGTTCAAAGTGTGGTGTAAGTACAGGCGAAATGAGTAAATACTGTAGTATGTTGCCAGATGACAACTGGCTGTCCTGTGCAGTTCAGGGTCACTAAAGTTCTGCCATTTTCTAGCCATACCTTTTGGTTCATTGATTTCCTCCATGCAGGCACAGGGAGGTTCTTCCCACTGTGCCTCCGTGGTTCCCTTGAAGCATTAGGTAAGTAAGGTTTTTATGTCTATTTGTTATAGGCTGTCTTACATCTAGTCGACTGGTTTGCCTTTTACTTTAAGCGTCCTTACTTTAAGAATCCTTCTCTTCAAATTTTAGTCCTGTGGGTGTTTAACTCCATATTTTCCATCATCTCATCCCTAGCACAGTCATCACAGCTGCTCCCAGAGTTTGTCAGGGATTATTAATTATCCGACACAATCCATAGACTGAAATCTGTGCCTCGGGTGGCCATTTGGTTGAATGTTGTGTGCTATGTGTTTGTCTTAATGGGCCTAAACCTGATTCTGCTGAACACTGTGTCCATCATACCTTTGTGGTAATAACGTCTTTAGCACGTCTCAATGACAGCAGTTTTTAACCAGCATCTCCATTGTTTCCTTTTTCCTTTTGGCCTGTGACGAATATGTCTGATCAGCTGTGATGGAGTCAAATACCTTATAAGAGAAAAGAGTGTGACTCGTACATTTACACCTGTCATCGCCGGGCGAGGTGAACTTTCAGAAATGTTCTAGCCTGCTGGGCAATGCAGTGGGGAAGTGTCACTGCAGGAAAAGGGTTGTATGCAGTCAGTTCTATCGTTTCACTGTATTTCAGGCCATTGAAAATTAAAAGAAAGTGAGGCTGATATATG